AATACCAGTATTATCATCACCTGTTCTTCATCATCAAACAATGGAACAATAAAGCTCTGAATACAAATATTTCCTGATAGTATAACCAGATAGTGGGCCCATCTAAACCAACCTATAGAAGCAATAGAAATAGATCTACTGCCAAGTCATATCCTTCAGCTCAACAAGCTCATCAAATTAATAAAAGAAACTTCTGATCTAATCAAAGAAATCAATAATGGCTTCCTTTAGTTATCTAGTATTAATATCTACTGTGACGAAGTATACAATCCTATACTAGATCCTAACCATGTCAGCACAGGAATTATTCTACAAGATAAGAACAATATAATCATGAAAGTCTTCAACAATCTGGCAGAACTCCTGGCTATCACCATAGCCATCCATCTTCCCAAACATAATACATTTTATCATATCTTTTCTGATTCAACTATTACCATCAATGAAATCCAGCAAGCAATAAATTGTAGTATTAAAATCTCAGAATTATTAATTATATCCTTTATTTTTAGACAAAAATATTTCAATATCACATAGTACACAATAATGATAAAGGACACCTTAACAAATTACAAATGAGCAGATCTACTAGTCAAGAAATGCCTCAAGAAATATAATATAATATATACTGTATCACTATACTAATAGAGTATTTTCATGATACAAACCTGCTAATATGCAAAACTCATAATACTAAGATCATATAGAGTATAAAAAAAACCATTGATACTTTTCAACAAATTAAACAAACAATAGCATGAAACATATCGAACCAAAATTCAGACTTAATACTAATTAAAGAGAACAGATAAATTGGAAAAACTCAATTTGAAACTTTCATTCATTCAACATCAATTTCTTACTTTGCAATTAATGATGGGTCCCTAAAGTATTTAGCATATAAAATTTTGTAGATTACTTATGTCCCTTTTTGAGAAACAAAATTCATAGCTCTTTACTTTAATAGAAACAAAAATTAGGAAATGTTATAAATTAATGATTTGGATAATAGAAAACAATTGTGAATAGTTTTTTTATAAATATTAATTTAAAAATTTTAATGTTTTCTAGTGAGAGACATTTGACTTTTGTCCTTGTCTTCCACTTTAGGAGCCCATCTTTACCTGTGATACATAGAATTAAAGATTCTGTACATACTCACCTAAACTTTAAAATAAAGAATATTACACAATAATAATATTATACAAATGCTACCCAAGCATATACACAACAAACAAATGTTTTAGATATCAAGACACAGAGGATCAAAGTTATTTCTTCCAATGCATAGCATATGATCTAGATATCAAAGACCTTATTATTAACATAATTAGTAGAAAAATCTCAACAAAATGAAAAGATCATCAATGATAAATATTAAAGTTGAAGTAATCAAAAATGTAAACAAATATAATACCCGAAATACTATTATAAGAGATGGAATAATCAAGGAAATCAACCAATTAATTATTTCACTCTTTAAGGGTAACAAACTGGAAGAGACAGCGCAGGGTATAATTAGATATATTTACTTTATTACCTTCAATATATAACAAGACGATATCAATATTTCCAAAAATAGAAACTAAACAATAAAACCAACTGCACTGTATCAGAACAAAAAAGATTGAAAAAAACTTAACAATAACATATTCAGGAGATAGTAGCAAATATAAATACAGGTCTAATTATTAATATTATTAATGGAAACATATCCATTTTCAATATTTACTTAATGAATACTAATGGAGTTTAAATATATTAGTTTTTCTATAAGAGATAATAAGCCACAAAAGATTTTTTTAACAAATTAAAAGTAAATAGGTGAAATATATAGAGAAAATAAATCACAAAATTATTTTGTAATTTAAAGTAATATACTGTATATCTTTTTACATTTAATAAAGTGAGCCTGTTATAGTGCAAAAAAAAAAAATTTTAAGTATTACTATTTATTTATTTATTAGAAAAATAAAATAGAGTTATAGTATATTTACTATATAATAAAAATTTTATTATAAAAGCACTTATTTTCTTATTATTCTATTTTTTTTTTAATTTCTAGCTCATTTCTATATCAGTTCTAAAACTTTATTATAGTCAAGATAGGTTCTAGGAACAATCAAAATGAGTAATTACCCATATTATCTAAGGATTTATAGATCAACAAATAGTAAAAGGAGCATTTATTTACGTTTTACCCAATCAGAATAGGGTAATTATGTGAATATTTAATATAGAACTGTCTCTTAATTCTAACTAAGCTAAGGATTAGGAGAACTTATATATTCAATCTGATAAAGTAATCCCAATGTATTAATATCTCTATTATCTGAAATAATGCTTCTTAGGACTATAGTCCACTAGTTGACTTGTTACTATTCCCTATTTAAAAAACTAATATGTCAAGAACCCATTTAAGATACTTAACATCACTAATATTGAGATCTTTTATACAAATCTCCTATTGACTCCATTAGCACTTTTAAGATTTTTCTTTTTTAAGAAGCTTGTTTTGTATCTAATACCTATTATATTATTGATTAGGAGTTTAGTCTTGTATTAAAAACATTACACTACTCAGTTTTTGCCTTTTCTAAAACTTGTCTTATGACTTTTTTTAGAATTATACAAAGCTGATTTTGTCTTATTCTAGGCATATTTGATCATTTTTATGAGTGATTGGAGGTTTTTTTCTTAAATCTTAAAGGAAACAGTAATCAGTTAGTATTTGAAACCTCATATTGCTTATTTTGATTACTTTTTGCAGAACCTTATATATGTTTTGTCTTGTTATGGCTACAATAAGTGAATAAGATTCTTCTTATTTCCTGTTGGGTTACCTGGAAACTGGTTATATATAGTGATTTGTATTACTTATGCTAGCCTTATATAGAATTTTGTGTTGATTTAGTCATTTTTACTATAGGTATAATAAGCAAACAGGTTTTCTTTATTGCCTTGTTGAGGTATTTGATCACTATTATGATAAGATGAGATCTTTATATCACTTTTGTAGCTTAATTTTCACTTGGATTTCATATGATATTGAACTCTAGACCTTGTGATTTTATCTAGAAGCACTACTACTATGCTATAGATCTATAGATTACTTTTTTATTATTCTATTTATTGGTTTTAATAGTATTTATTTATAGGTTTTTTAAGAAAATTTGTTTATTTCAATTTAACTTTGAATTTTAAATAGTACAAAGTTTTTTATACAGTAATTAAACAATAGATATATATTAATAAAAAAAATAAACAAGCTTTTATTGATGGTTTTATATATTTGATATATTTTCTTATCTCTATAAAAATTTGAAATTTATTATAAGTTTCTTTTGATTGTATATAATAAATATAAAATACTGTTTTGACTATTTATTAATTTTTTCTAAAAAGAGTCAATTCAAATATAACAAAAATTACAAAATGCTATAATTATTTTTTAAGTTATAGTCACTTATATTTGTTATTAAATAGATTTTTTTTAGTTTTTTCAGATAGATAAAGATTTGAAACTATTTAAAGAGGCAAAATTGAGAAGTTATAAAAATTATATTGTATATACAGTGACAATTTTTCCTTAAAATAATATATTTTATTTGAGTATATTTATTAGAGCATGCTTATAAAAATCAATAAATATTCTTTTTTAGTATATAAATTATATTGATTCAATTAATTTTTTAATAAGCTGTTTGGTAAATAGGATTTTCAAGTTATTATAAGATTATAATACTGAAAGCAGTTGAAAAACAGGTAATATACTCTTAACTGAAAAATTTTTTAAAGAATAAATGGTCATAAAATTAAAATAAAAATAATAATATGGGATTTCAAGTCATTTTATAATTTTTAAAAATGTTTTATTAGTGATTATTTTGTGTATTTGCATCTTGCAAAATCTTGAAAGGTTAATAAAACATGACTGAGTCACTGTTTCAAATATATAGTATATATATACGTATATATATACTGTATATACTGTATATATATACTGTATATACTGTATATTTATTAAGATAAATTATAGTAAATAACTCAAATGTTAGTTTTTATCATTAAAATTGATAAATAATATTTTTTTAATATGTTACAAATTAATATTTAATAAATTACCAATTTTTTTTTTTGAATATGCTTAACTGATATTTATATAAATTATATGAAAGAAAATTTTATTGACTATAGTAAAGAACTAAAAATATACTAAAAAATAATATATATATATATATACTGTATATACTGTATATAGAAAACAACATTGGTGACAAATAGTATTATATGCAAGTTTTCGAGTTTTGAATATATAATTACAAACTTGAAATTGTCAAAGTTGAAATTAATAATAAAAATATATTGAGGAAACTTACTTTTTGAAATAATCGCAAAAATTTTATATAAACTGTTAGATCATTTCATTTTCGAAAATTATTAATAACCAAATACTATTCATTTAAATATTTAAGTCACTTTAAGACATTAATCAGCTCTGCTGCATACGTTCATGTTTTTAGCTTATCCTGTACTGTAATGACATAATTTAAGATTAAGACCGAAATGACATAATTGTGTCAGGAATCGCGAACCAAAATTAAATAGTTTGAAGAATTGAAGAACATTAATCCCCAATAATACAGTATATCAAATTTATTTATTTAAATATTATGGGTATTATAAAGTATTTTTTCCAGATATACAGTATGCAATGTTTCTTATTTAGAAGTAGGGATTTTTAAAATGATATTAATTTCTACCATTTTCCGATTTTCGTTTTATGTTTCACGTATTTTGTAAAGCAGTTTTATTTTTACAAAGTAAACTTTGCTATTATTAGTCGTAATAAAAAACGATGTCGCATTTATTAATTTACTAAACATCTAATATAATTATGCTAACTCGACTTTGGTGAAATTTAAAATATCAAAAATAAGACTATAAATAGCGACAAATTGCCAATCGACTAGATAAAATTTCATGCTAAGGTGTGAGGATTACCATGCTCTTCGTTTAGAAGACAAATCATTCGCTAATTTCTCAAGCCTTTGAATCTCCGCCTCAGCATTTTTTCGTAAATTAGTGTTCTGCAATGTTCTTGCATCCTGTTTCATGCTCTCGATGTTTGCGTGAAGCTCATCGACAAAATTAAATCTAGAACAAAGTTTGC